TCTCATAACTTTCATTCTCTCAAACTCAAAACACTCGAAAGATCTTTACACTAGCTTTTAGCGTAGTGCACAGGCATCGAGATACTTGCATTTCTTGTCGCGTTCGCCATTGCGAAGGACCTTGTCAGGATTCTTGCGACAGTGAGAAGCAGCATCAAGATTGATGACACGAACATCAATTATGCCGTCAGTTCCGCATTGCCAGAGGCCATGGATAAGGAGATCACCTCGTTCCTTGGATGATGTGAGAACTACATGAGAGTCGCTGGAAGGCAAAGCATCCGTAGCTGCAGAGCGACTAAGTTGGATATGGGGTTCGTCGCAAACTGCAGATGGGATGAATGCCTTGGCAGCGAGATCACCGAGTTCATCACGCACTTCATTGTGGCATTGGAGAACCAGGCCGCCCTTAGTACAGGAAAGGGTGTGAGTGATACTGAAGCGCTCTCCACAGCCATCACAGTGGCTGGGAAGATCAGAGGGGATCCGATCGTAGCGCAAGCAAGTGCAAAGCATCGCGGAATTCCTGGGCAACGAGAACAGTGCCATTTTCTGGCACTGGAACCACATGAAGCCAGGTGCCAGTCTCCGGGGCGCGCTTCACAACAGAACGACTGGAACGTGGTAAGGTACCTAGGACCTTGTGCAGGTTCACAGCAGCTGCAGCTTTGCGGCGAGCACGAAGAGCCTCACGACCATCAGACACTGCCTGACGGTGATCCGCAATGCGGAAATTCTTAGGAGGGACCACACAGACTAGCTGTGATTACGCTACAAATGTCCTAACTAGCACCATGATTTTCATCGATAGTGCTATTGAGATTGGGAGGAGCCAGGCCAGCTGCTTTGACTGGCAAGCTGGTGAGTTGGCGGGCGGGAAGCTCCGAAGGAGCAGCCCCAAAAAGTGCTGGGAGGAAGGTGTTGGCGATAGCAGCCTCGATGGCTGCAAATGAATCGGCAGAGCACCTTGTCACCCGTTGCACAAACTGCCATTTGTATTGCAGAGACTTCATACCAGTAGTAAGTCCACATTCTTGCATGCTCATACGATTTTAGCAAAACGTGACTGAATTATAATTAAAAGAAAGTTTCACATGCTCTTCTAAAGACTCTCTGAGCTACTAGCCGAAGCCTGTAGCTTTAATAGCTCACTTGCTTAAAATCGGAAGTACACGAAGGTAAAGACGTAAAGACAAACTTTTCATGGTGCCCTGTAAAACTGGTTACTGCTAGTAATAGGGAACCGGTACCCCAGGCCTGGAGAGAAGGGCACAACTTGAATCTTGGAGTACCGGCAAAGCCCGGAAACAGGACTGGCTATGGTACATACTGTACTGTACCCGTGCCTTTACCGTACTCCAGTTCTCAGAAACGTTTGACATTTTCACAGGTGTGAAATTGGTCTCAAAAGTGTGCAATTGAAGCAAGCTTTAGTAACTTTTCCTTTGTTTGGTGAAACTCAAGTTTTACTGCTATGATTAATTATAACACAGTATTAAAAGCATGGTTTTGAATGGTTAATTCCATAAATGCATGCAACCATTTTCAAATGTATAAAAGAGGATTTAGTTTCACAAAAATGTGAAACTGAAAACGTGAAATTGAAACTACCAGCACAATGAAACTACAGTACAGTTTCAACACAGTGAAACTCTTTAGACTGTTTCCGGACATTGAGGGCGCCGGACCTCTGTGGAACCGTCATTCGTGGCAAAATACTTAGGAGACGATACACCGAGGAATAGGAGACGATCGAAATGATTTAAGAGACGAAAGCAATCGTCTCCTATATTTAGGTGACGATTCAGTAGGAGACATTCCAATTAGGAGACGATCGTTTCGAAATAGGAGACGATCCGAAAGATTTAGGAGACGATACCATACAGTTTACATGGTATACTTAGGAGACGATCCGGTGAGAATAGGAGACGATCCGTTGAAAATAGGAGACGTTTTAAGAGGAGAAAAAAGATTTAGGAGACGATCCGTTTCGTCTCCTATTTTTAGGAGACGAAATCCATTAAATAGGAGACGATCAAAAGGATTTAGGAGACGAAAAGTAGCACGACTCGAGTTTCCACAGAGGTCCCGTGGATCGGAGGAGTATATGCCGGTAGTACTCAGTCAGTACTTGAGCCATTAATTAATTGATTTGTTGAGACAATGTCATGACCGACAGTCCTTCAGTTTTTTCAAGATTTTCATCGAAAATAGATATAACGGTAGATGTCGCTTTAAACATCTGATCAAGCTTATGTTGGCTGAGCTCTACAGTACTCCAGTATAAAATAAATGTACAATGTTGTTACGTTGTTACAACATGCAAAGTAAGCCTTCTAAATCTCAGAGAAATTGGCATCATTTGTGCAGTACACGGGTACCTGGCTAGGCTGTGTGCTTTCTTGAAAAGGCTCCACACGCTGGAGCTAATCCTCTGTCACCACTCGAGTACTCTGTTGGTCCATAGTCCACTCAGTAAGCACAATGAAAAGAAACCAAAGTAAGTCTTGAATGTCATTGAGTCACGGAAGAGAATTTTGAGATAAGATCTTGGAGCTGCTTGGATCGTTCCAAGTTTACCGGTGTCATTCACCAACCGCAAAATCCACTTCCGCCAAACTTTTGAGGACCCCACAACCATCACAGTGTCGCGCTGGAGCGGTGTCACCTAGCAAAGATATACCGGTAGGATATAGGATACCGCTTATATTTGTTTTCTTGCCATTTAGGGAAGATTTGCTCAGAATGTTTCTCCTGTAATCACAGTCTCGACAGTCAACCTGAGGCCTGAGGCCTGAGGGGTTGGTCCCAGCACAAAAACTCGCCATTGCATTATTGCATTTATGATTAGGCTTTTTTGCCTCTTCCTCTATGTACGGTAGACGGTTGTACGGCTGTCAGCGGTGCTTCGAAATCCATCACGGCTTGCTTGTAGCGCAGCGCCGCAAAATTTCAAAAGCACAGATGGCCAGTGAACCGGACAAACTCTCTCGGCATCGCTACTACTAGTACTACGCATTACTAGTAGCTGCTCTAGCTACCTCGACCACTAGCTAGCTTGGACGTTGCTGCTGCTGGTCCCTTGTGTTTGTTACCGTACCATACCAGTATCCATAGATTTGTTCGACATGGATAACAGAAAGCGAAGAAGGGATGAACTCCGCAGCAGTGACAGCGAAGAAGAGGAAAAGCAAGGGGACGATCGCCCCAGGTTCGCGGCTCGGCGGCCAGACCCCCCTTCATTTTTCGCCTCCTCCGACACCGAAGTAGAAGTAGCCAGCGCCAGAGCCTGTCAACAACCACCTGGTAAGAACATCAAGGCGGTCTCGAGACGCCCTGTATACAATCCTTCAATTGAGTGTTGGAAGATTATGGATTTATGTTGCATCGCTGGCTTTGAAGTAGTGGTCGGTGTAGTTGCCGTACCAGTGGCGTGGCTATTTCTCACAACTTTACGTTGTCTCGCTTGTCGTGAACCCTTAACTTGCAGAAGTCGCCTCAGCCCCCATGCCTAGTGAACCTTCGCTACAAGCAGCACAGAATATGGGAATGTTGGGCAGCGCTGCCGAAGGCTTTGGGGCTGGTTTTCCGCCCGCACCGGCTGGGGGACTCGATGCGTACAGTGGAGCACTCTTCCAACAGGCAAACCTTCAAAGGCAGATGGGTCTTGCCATGCTCATGGGACAAGGTGGGCCGCCTGATCCTCTGGTTATGCAGTATTTGGCATCGCAACAACAGCAGCAACAGGCAGGCCAGGTTCCTTTATCAATGAACATGTTCTTGTCTCGTCAGGCCGCCCAACTGCAGCAACGGATGCAGCAACCTGGACAACAGCAGCAATTGCAGCAGTTACAACAGTTGGCTCAACAACAGCACCTTGCAGCAGCGGCACACCAGCACTTCCAACTCCAGCAGCAAGCCATGGGTGCGACGGCTGGTCTTCCGGTATTGGCGCAGCTTCAGGGTGGGGGAGGAGGAGCCCCTCATCATTTGCAGCTAGCGGCATTGCGCAATCTCGGTGGCCAATTTCAGGCGAGCGGTGGTGAAAATAGTCTATCTCAAGCGACCGCTCCAAGGGTAGAGCGGAGTGCTGCACCGGCTCCAATTCGTTCCACCCCTCGGTTGACTGGCAGGCCCCCGATTACTCTTGACTTGGACACAGATGGCAACAGCCTTTCGCCCTATCAGTGTTTGGCACGGAAGCACATGGAGCTTTTTGAAGCTTTGCAGGTGGATGTCGATGGTGGTGCTCAGGGACGAAATAGGCCCATAGTCCTTGGTCAGGTTGGCGTCCGATGCAGATATTGCACCCACTTGCCCTTGAAGCAGCGGTTGAAAGCATCGTCATATTACCCAGCTAAAGCCCAAGGATTGTATCAGGCTTGTCAAAACATATTGAACGGGCACATGTTGAAAGAATGCCGCACTTTCCCGCTGGATGTCCGCAGAGATTTGATCAAGTTGCAGACCCGAAAATCAGCACCTGGGGGAGGAAAACACTTTTGGAGTGAAGCTGCGGAGACACTGGGGGTTTATGAAGACGAGCATGGGTTGCGGTTTCACCCGTTGCAAAACACAAATGATCCACCTGATGCCGATGAGGAGAGGAAGGCTTCCGAGAGCGACAGGGAGTCGGCAGAAGGCAAAACAGGAGGTTACGCAGAGTAGACGCTTCCGGAAAGGTCTTGTTCGTCAACATTGCCACGCAGATTGTCGTGTCGTCTTGCGTCTGCTACAACCACAAAAATGTGAATTTTGTTTGGCTTTGTAGAAGTGCTGCTTCTCGGTTCTCGGGGTAAGAACGACGAAATCGTTGCAAGACTTTCCGCCACGTATCAAAACTCGCCAATGAGAATCAACTTTTTCGGCTTGTTGCTGGTGCCATGGTCGAATCTATCCGTTGCTTCAGGCGCTCAGATGACGAGACATGGTGAGATTAGTGAACGATTCATTTGCAGACGTTTAAAGTTTGAAAGGTGTTATGGAAGAGAGAGATACTGTCTGGGATTTGGGACTTCAGCGATTTCAATATCACTGTCAAAGGAAGACAACATACCCAAAATTGAGCGACATCCGTAAGACAACTTTGATCATTGGTCTTGGAGGAAAGCTTTGATGCATCCTAACATTGTAACATCCTGAGGCTTGCAGTACACCCTCCCTTGTTGTTGAGGGCCCAAAATCCCGAAACGAAAACACGAAGTTCAAAAATTCCCCCACGGGGACTTCGTTTTTGCAACCAACTTTTGATGACCGCATGCATCTTCCAACGAGCCAGAGTCGGCCGAACAGCCTTTCTGTGACTTTCTCTCCTTACTACTGGTAGCTAGCTAGCCACACGAGAGTCCTCAGTTCACTATGAACCCCACCTCCAAGTTTTACCGGTATCAACCTGGGGTTCGGTTAATTCTTTTTTTTTGCGTTCGGCATAAGAGACACTCTGCTCCTAAATGGAAACTCACTTTGAGCAGAATAGGACTATTTGAATGGGGACGTGGATGGTGGTGTTCGCATGCACATGCAACCCCCGTCCAAAAGCACAAGGCAGGGTGAAGAAGATCTGGGGGCTGTCCTTGTCTGAATCAAGGTAGCAGCCAGGTTGGGCTGCGTTGCCTCTCATTCAGTACATGGTTTGTATTCCTCCAACCAGCCAACAAAAGGCCTTTTGGCTGCCGGACTTCTCCATAATGGTTCACAGGAGTTGGGATTAGTGGCACCAACCAAGTTATCCCTGGCATCCGCAAGACCTCAACATCAGGGAGGAACAGAAAAGATATGTGGAAAGTTCGGCTCCGAGCTTGGCTTTTCGGGGATGACAATCCTGTGTTTGAAAGGCCGCAACATTGCACGCTCCACAAGAGCAGACCGCTACTGGTACTGGTGCAAGGGGTACTCCTCACAACTCCACTCGTTCTTCATAAAACGATGACAGCTTTTCAAAGCCTTGGACGGGTAAAGGCTTTCTGTTAAGCAGTGCACGTGGGCTGCCTGCATTTGTGCATCATGGAAGTGGGGTTTCGACAGCATCATAAGGGTTGCCGCAGCTGATGGCCGTATGCCCTGCGTCGGTTCGAAGAATTGGCGCAATGTACGATCTCGGGTCGAACGATTTGCCCCCGTAACGGTCGTTGTGGGCTCTCGTGATAGACGGATTGAACATCTTGTATCATGCACTTGGTCCTCTGAAGAGCCATTTGCACGCCCTCGGAGTTAGGCTTCGGAGTTCAATTGGACGTGGCCAGTTGACGAATGACTCGTCGTTTGGGCGAAGATATTGCTGGGCTTCAGAGCCCAACATCGGCCGAATGACGTAGCTCCCCTGGCTCAATGTTTTTGAGGGATTGGCGGCTTGGGGGCAGTGGACACCAAGATGATTAGCCTGGAACAAAAACGTCACCAGCGTGGGACGTGGTCCACCAAGGGTACCGCCATAGAAACCACGAGCTCATCGAACGTAACCGAAGGCGACGAATATTTCCCAATGGCGACAAACTTCCACGTACTTTTGTATGGGGCCACACGGCCGGGCCGTGAGATTCTATTGTGAGGGCTTTGGGGTGCTGCAATCCGATTCCAATATGAGCGGTGGCCATCTGAGGGCGCTGAAGCAATGTCTGCGTTCACTTTTGGTTGATGTATCCTTTCAAACCGTTGGTGCCAAATGGTGAAATGGAGCTACCAGGTTCACGACGTACGGTACCGATACAGTTCACAATGATCACAAAGCCAAGCAGCCACAATACACGGGAAAAACAATGGACGACTTCACTTTGAGACTACGGTACGGTACCGGTTCCTATCGCCGTCTCTTTCACTTACTTGCTATCTGGCTGGGGACCATCTATTTGAATACTTGCTTTTTGAGGATTACCATCTGGACAGCTTGCTATCTGGACCCTGAATTTGAATACTGTTTTGTTTTTGGTGTTGTATTTTGGCTTGGAGGGAGTTCTGGTACTAAGGTTTCTAAAAGCGGCAACATCACAAGCCAACTAATTGAAAATCGACCTGCTGTATGTGCCCGTGCCAAAGGAGACTTTAGGAGTTCCTTCTGAATACTCGTGTGCCATGTTTTCAGTCTCTTGAAGCTTCTCAATCTTTGAATCGACAGGTTTCGCTGGCTGCCCCACGCAGTCCAGGCTCTAGCAGCTGCTAGCTACTAGTAGAACGGAATGGTATGGTCCTCAATGATGAGATCTACCAGGGTAGGGAGTGCCTGACAGTAGGCCGCCGGATTTGAAAAGACCTCTAGAATGTTCATACTACAAGAGCAGCACTGCAAAAGGCCGCCAGAACGGACTGGCTAGAGCAGCGATCACTTTATGTTTTAATATTTTCTATTTTACAATTTTAAAATACAACTGTAGCTAGAATGGGGTTGTTAAAGTGAATGCAACCTTCTTGCTCTGGCTAGCTAGCTGCAAGATGGGGTTGGCCTATACTTTTCCTTGCTGATGGTCTATCAGTGGGGACCGTACTGGTGACACCAAGGCCCTGATCTGCCATGGCCGGGATCCACTCCAGTGTGCGGGACAGGATGCTCTAGAATGTTTTAGGCACAAAAGCGGCACTGCGAAGGCGGCTACCGTAGCAAGCTGTCGGGTTGGACTGGCTAGTGGAGCGATCACCAAATGCTTTCTCTTGTACCTACATTGAATACAACCGCACAGGTAGAATGGGGTTGAAGTGCATGCAATATTCTGGCTCTGGCTAGCTACGGTAGCTCTAGCTGCAAGATGGGGTCAATCTGTACTTTTCCTTGCTCACGTTGTGGCTTCCATCAATGAGGACCCTACCAGGTACAGCGTACCGGTACCATGAAGGTGGTGCTGTTGGAGGTCCCGCGGCCTGGCCGTTGCTATCCTTTCGGATCCAGTCTTGGGAGGTCCGAAACGGCCGTCAACGTGTGCCCTCAAAATTCTCTAAATAATGCAGCCAACAATGCCCACAAACACTTCCTCCTGTTTAACCGCAAAAGCCGTCAACGGAAACTGAAAACCTTGACCCCTTTTTGTGAGCGAAAGAAGAGAACATGAAAACCTGAAATAGAGATACACAACAGACTGCCTTTGTGTGCATCCCCTTTGTGTGAGAGAGGAGGGAAGAATTTTCCAAGGAGACTTCCCCCTTTGCTGCCACCGATCGTCCGTTGTGTGTCTCTTTGATTCCTTCCATTTTGATTGAACATTCGAACAAAAGAGAGTGGACTGAAATTAGTAGCTATAGCTAGCCAAGCCATCGGTACGAATGAAGGGATAGAGGAACGATGCCTCTGCTGCGAATACAACGAAGCTCCAGCAGTGCGAGTTTGAAGTTGTGGGAAAGTCGAACCACCACCTTTGAACACGACTTGTACAACAACGACGACGACGACGACAACGAGAACAACGGCAATAACAACAATCAGAGAAGATCCAATCGACAAAAAATGAGGGAACCTGCCGCTCAAAGACTGATGAATCAACAGATCGATCGTTCCGATTCGGCAGATGCCGAGAGCCTTACCAAGCGTAGAAGCTACGGAAGCAACATTGGTATTGGCAAACCCGTTCGGCAGTACAAAAAGTTGTTTCCAGAGAGGCCCTTGCCTGATTTTGTAGCGGGCAAGTCATCATCCTTCCAGATCCCAAACGAAGAAGGGATTGAAGCCGTGCTGCCACCGGGAGAAATGGAACCTTGGAAGGTGCCGCAATCTCTCAAAAGATATAAAGAACCCAAACTGCCAACCAAACGAGGGGAAAGACCGCTGGCTCAGCAGTATTCAGAATTCCCCAGACATACACGATGGAGCTGCTTTCCTTCTGCAAGTCACTTTCGGAAAACACATCAGATTCCACACACCATCACCTCCTCGGCCCCACCAGCCATGACGGCGTCGTCTTCTTCGGAGGAAGGCATTCGCCAAGAACGATTTGACCAATCCTTTGAGCTCTATCGTTCTCGCGAGAGTTTCGAACAGCAGCAGCAGCAACAACAACCACAACCTCAGCATGAACCAGACTATGCCGTTGTGGCCAACGCCTGGAACACACCCATCCTGACGCCTGCTGGCAACGGCTTTGTGGATCGATGTCTTGCTGATTCAACGTTTTCCTCCTACTCGTCTTCCAACGCATCGTCTCCACCAGATCCAGATCCGGTAGCCTTGTCAAAACAGCACAAGCCACAAGACGACTACGACAACAACAAGAAGAAAAAGAACAACGGAGATGGAAGCATTACACAGGGTGCAGATGCGACCAACAAGAAGAAACCAAAATGGAAGCAACGACTCTTCTTCTGGAGCAACAGCAACAATAAGATGAAACGTAGTCAAAGCATGGATCAAATGCCCACAACGGCAATATCACCGTCCACTCCTACACGAGAACTTCCCAATGCCAGAGATTGGGCAAAACGTGAAGAAGAAGAACAACAAGAAAACGCCAAATGGGAAACTAGAGTGGATGGGGACTTTGAAGTAGAATGCGAGTATCGAGGGGATGTCAGTGTGAAGGATTGGTTCACGGCACGAGATCAATCACCGTTTGTGGGACTGAATACCACCGCCGACACTGCAGCTGAACACGTTGTGGGTACGGAAGAACAACAGCCTCCTCCTGTTGGACATCCAGAAGAAAGCTTGTTGGAAACACCCTCGTCGTCGTCATTACCATCTCCTGGTGTGATGGAATTGGGACAGTACGCAAGAGAAAAGCGTTCCAAAGCTGCAAGCAATTCCAAATCCAAATCACCTTCGCCTCGTTCACGACAAAAGCCTGGTATTCTCTGTGCCTTGCCCAGCTTTGGCGGTAGCTCCGCCAAAGCCAAGCAGAGCAAGACATTGGATATTGATGATGATGATGATGATGATCTGGTCAACTTTCCAGACCCCGAGTTTGCGGATGTGGAGGCGTCAGACGATAATTCATATTTGGCAGTATCTTACACGGAAGAGGGCGCCCAGCTAGTCATGCAACAATCGGGCGATTTCTCCAACAACGATGTTGCCGATTACCAACCCCTTCACCTTCATCAGCAGCAAGAAGAGAAGCAGCGGGAGGCTTTGCACCAGCAACAATTTCAAGAACAGACACCGCACGTAGAAGTATCACCCACTGGGTTTGCAGAACAAGAATTTTTGGATGACATTGTGGATGAACTGCTTCTTGAAGAGACGGACACGCACATGGATGATTCGCTGCAGTATCTTGGACAGTACTCCATCAAGTCGGCATCACAGAGCCAAAGGAGTGGTAACAACAAGAACTTGGGAGCCAACTTTCCCCATCCGGCTGCACAGTTGAGAAGCGATTTTGTTCAGGGACAGCCTGTTCGTCCGGCCAGATTGGACAACGACGATGTGACTCCCAAAACTATGGCTCCCAGAAACAACTCTAGGAATGAAAACGTTCACGCTGGCTACACTCCTGGATCGCACGCAAACCCTGTGGACAACAGCAACAGAGTAGAAAAGGAAGTGATTGGGAGCATGACTTACCATCACTACAAAGGCACTGGCACGCACCTGGATCAAACTGGAAGACCTTCTTCCGCTACCAACTACACTTCACCTCCTGTGATTCGCACAATACAATCGAATTCGAAGCCCCCCCTTCGACAGAGACATCAAGAAGCATGGATACCGCCAAAACAGCACGAGGAATCATCTTATCGTGAGCCGCGGACTTCCTATGGATTGTGCCCGACAGCCCCACCTCTCCCCACGAGCAAATATTCATATCCTGCATGCTCCAGCCGCGGCATGTCCCGCTGGGATCTATCACAAACCACCGACTTGACCTGGGACCAATCCACAACGAGGACCATGTCCACGCTTTCGTATTCGGGAATGTATCCCTTTCAAGACTGGCGCAGTGCAGCTACGGGTGGGCAGCAAGATCGATGGGCTATCTATCAACCCATTCAAAGCTTAGCGAAGGGGGTGAACGCAACATTGTGCGAAAACCTCTACCCTAAGCAGGAGCAACCGCCATCGGTTCCCTTTGATGAGATGGAGATGGATTACCGAAGGAAGCGCGGAACCGCTGCTCCTAAGCAAGAAGTCCTTCGCTCACAATCATCCATGTCATCGTTTTACGAGAGAGGGTATCGAGACTACCGTCGGCCAATCCGATCACAATCGGCGTCCCAAGATTCACGGGTACGACATGCAGAAAGCTCAATGGAGTCGCGAACGACCGAGCAACCCACAATTCTCACGGCAGAAAGCGACAAACGAAGGCAGCTACTCTAGGTTGCCAGGGCTAGCTTTGACTTTGTCACGCATCGCCAAACTCCTGTCGTCTCTGTTTCGGTTCACGGTCAACCTCTTTCGTCATGTTTGTTCCAACTTGGATTGTCTCGGATAACCAGCTAGCTAGCTAGCTAGCTAGCTAGCCAGGTACTGTGGGAAGTGATAGATATCATACAAGTGAGCATTGTACCGCAAGCTAGATGTAACTTTGATGTAAAGGGATTAAAGGAAACAACTGGACCGACCTCTTGATGTTGTCATTTTTTGTGTGAAGGGATGGACCAACAGCACCATACCGATACCGTAATAAGCCAACGTACAGCTGTTAGCTTCATCCCAAGCGGCATTGTGAAATCAAATCTTTGGAAGTCGTACATGTATTACAGAAATATGCTACGCTACCCTGATCCCTCATAATTTGACAGCTTTTGCTGTGTATTTTGGGGGGTGGACGTTCCGTGGATTCGGTCACTTGGAACTTCGAAATTGCCACCGCTTGCGGAGAATTAAATTTTCCTTGGAGAAAGGCTCTTATGGGAAGCTACGACCACTGAGACCAAAGCACGAATGGTCTGGTACCGGTACCGGTATTAAATATCAGCCGGACCAGTAACGAATTAATTTTGACGATATCGATGGACACACGCAAGAAAGATAAATCGAGTTCGCTGCGTTTATGCGTTTATTACAGGTTGTCAGGAGAAAGTACCAGGTATGTGTACTAGTAGATGATAACAAAGATTCTCCACGTGGTTTCGCCTTCCCTTCTAAGCCACCTAAAAATGGCTGTGTAAATGCGGACCACACAAACAACAGTAAAGGTTGACCAGCCACCAGCCATTATCAATAGCTATCCATATACCAGTGAGAATCTGATAGCCGGAGAGTTGCCGGGGTTTAGCTAGTGGCGACGTGCTGCAGCCGAAGGGCTTGAATGACGACGTAGAAGGCACGGAACTCTGTGGTCCTCAAACGCCACAGCACGATCACCTCTGCAATTGTGCTTTAATTAAAATTCCTCATTATTTATTTTTGATCGATAACTGATCCATGCAGGATTAGAAGTAAAAACTCCACAAGTGGATGAAAACCGCGCAGAAAAGGTGCAAAGAGACAGGGACGAAAAAAACTTTCTCACATGCCGAGCCATGACTACTGAAATAATGCTGGTACATATGACATACATGCTAGGCCAATGTGTTGGTACAATCCACTATAGAATGTGGATTAGTATGACTACCCTTCTTCCTTCACTGAAAAGACTGAAATGTCCATTTCGGTGGTGGACAGAAATGCATTTTTAATAGTGAAGTCTGTAATAATAGTTTGAGACTCCTACAAACTATTGCCTTTTTTAATTAATGACACTTTGCACCAGATACTGTAATTTTTTCTATACTCTGCTGAATGGGCCTGCATGTTTAACTCACTTACAGGACACAGGGTGCCTCAACGCCTCAACTCAAAAATCAGAATTTAGAGTGGAGAAAATTGGACTAGTAAGGTACGGAACCGTACAATACTTCCTTGATATTAAGAAAATACCAGAAAAGATGTGGAGTGCTGAGATTTGCTGGAATGTTAATAAAAGATACTGGAGACATTTAGATCTGCACTGTATTAATAGCTAAGATACCCAGTAAGCACTCTCCCTTGGGCACATAAGAGATCGAGAGATGATACGATGACACTTTTCTACAACAAAAGGCCTTTAAAAAAAACATTTGGCCAAAAGTCAAAAATGTTGCCTCCGGAAGGTGATACTCTGATCTTTCCTCTTTTCAACTAAGGGTATGTTTAGTAAGGTGGGAAGCAGAGTAGAAATGTTGGTATGCCTTATTCTACTAGTATGGTCATAGAAATGGCAAGAAAGCTAAGATGTTGCCTTTGCACCCTGAAGTTTAACAAAATGCTAAGAAGATTCTCAGTAGAGATATTTAAGTGGTTGCTAAGATGCCTTCAAAAGCGATCTTAATATCAAGGTGGGATTGTATACAGTGTTCTACTTTGAGCTATTCTTTTAGTGTTCAGATTCGATGATGTGCTTACCGGTGGGGCCTACACTGTACTATATAATAGTATGCTACCGTACGGTACGGTAGCTTGCTTAGCTGCGGTGGAGCCAGTGAGCCAGTTGCTTTCGACGAAGACACGGACCAAATCATAAATCCACATAAATAATGGCTGGCACCTCCTTTTTTAGGCCCTCGGGTGTTGGGTGTCAGAGCTGTAAGCTGTAAAGCGTAGTAAAGACTCCTTGAAGCAGACCCCAATTACAGACAGGCACAAGCTGCATCCGAGACGAGTGACAGGTCTGTCCCGTCAGCCGTCGGCAAAGTGCCTTCCGCTGTTGGCAGATGGATTGATTCGATTCATCATTCTGCAGTGTAGGCCCTTAGTTTGCCCGAGCCCGTGTTTTACTACCATCGTCGACGTGCATTTCCGAGTATTGCAGATCTTCAACTACATACATGTATGTAGTCTTCCACTACAGGCAGCACACACAAGCACTTCGGACTTGCTGCAAATAAATAAATCATAATTACGAGTAAAGAGTTCCGTTCTTCCCAGACTAGTAGAGGACACCCCAGTTCCATGTACTACAGCAGCCAGATCCCAGATTATTTCATAAGTTACCTCATCCATCATATTATTCACAAGAGGCACAATGAGCAACAACAATCAGGAAGGGCGCAAGAGGGGTAGCGAGGATATCACCAGGAGCAATGACGAAGGAGAGGAGCAAGCGCGTGAAGTGGCCCGTCGTCCACGCCTTGGAGAGCAACAAGCGGATTTTGCAGCCCAATTGCAAGGCTTTGGGGGAGGTGGAAGAGAGGCATTGGTTGGGGCAGCTCCCGGAGTCGGAAGGCAGCATCTTGGCGGTGCCCTTCTTGCAGCCGGCCTGGGAGGTACTGGACAGGCCGGGCAGAACCAAAACATGGAACAGCTTCTGCGGCAATTCATGGGTTCGGCGCAGGGTCAGGGAGGTAAGTAATTTGGATCGTTTTATCGTATTCAGTTTGCGTCGTGGGGCAAAAGTGATGATGTGCTTGATTGTTTGATTCTTTGAATGGTAGTTGGATTGATGAAAATGTGCCTAAATTGTGTCGTTGACGATCGTTCTGTCTTTCAGCAGGAAACGTCGCGGGCAGACCGCCACCAGCAGGTCTGGGAAACCTTGCTCAATTGCTAAACCAACCCCAACCGGCAGCAATCGCTCAAGGGCTAAACTTTGCCCACCGTCCCACCTTGGGAGGGCAGCGGGATCTTGGTCTTAATTTGGCGGCGAACATGCAGGCGGGCCACCCTCAGCAAAACGCATCTGCAAGCAACATCTTTTCTCAACAGTTTGGGAACCCAAGAGGAGCACAAATGGCGGCGGGGAACCCTGCCAATCTTTCCAACCAATTTTCTGCCGACTTGATCGCAGCTCTTACTGGCGCTCGAAGACCAGATCCGCCAGTGGCCCAGGGAGGAGTTGGTCGTGTAAATCCACTTTTGGGCGGAAGTAACCAACAAGTCAATGACTTTCTTTCATCTCTTAGCGGGGCTGCAGCTTCGCAAATTCCAATGGTTGTGGCATCCGCGGCAGCTGGATTGAGGCAGCAGGCCGGTGGTCAATTGCATGCACCGGTGGCTCCCCCGCCTTTAGCTCCAGGCTTGGTGAACCAGCTTCAGTGGGCTGGATGGAGCACCGGTGCCGGCGCTGCAGTCGGAGGGGTTGCAGCCGACGCAGCTGCCGGTGGTGGCGCCGAAGAAGAAAAAGAAGAACAACAACCAATAGGTCGTCGGAGGGTAGCTCTATATGTGACCACTGACGACGAAAGCGTCAATGCTTACCAGTGCTTCGCTCGAAAGCAGATCGAATTGTTCGAAGCCACACAAGATGATGTTGATGCAGGGGCCCAGGGCAGGAACAAGCCGATCATTTTGGGGCAAGTGGGCATCCGATGCCGACACTGTTCAGAGCTCCATCCAAGATTCCGTACACGTGCAGCCGTGTATTATCCATCCAGATTGGCGGTGCTCTATCAGGCGGCTCAAAACATTGTTCAAGTGCATCTTCCTCAGCTCTGTGAATCCATCCCGGACGCAGTAAGGGATCATCTCAAGACTTTGGACAGCAAGAGATCAGGTGTCGGCGGCGGAAAGAACTACTGGTGTGATACAGCAAAAGCGCAAGGAATCACGGACACCAAACATGGTCTCCGATATGAAGACAACCCCCTTCCGGAGGATCTTGCGGGTGATGAGGAGGAGGAAGAAGGAAAAGAGGAAGCGAAAGAAGAGGCTCGTTCTTCCCCCTGACTGAAAGTAACCGCTTCGATTTGAGTGCTGAAGTATGTTGTCTGTCTCGGAAGCAAATGATGCTTGTTCTTGATGTTGGCGGCGGTTCGCATCGAATCGCGGCCGATGAAACTGAAGGATGACTTCTTTGTTTGATGGGATCAGAGTTTACATCACAATAAGAAAAGAGTAAGACTCTAGAAGACGAATGAACCACGCCTACACCGCTTGCTCAATCCATTCTTCGACCCTTTCGGATATGGCGTAGACCACGCATTTGACGCCGGGTCCCTCCTTGCTATTGGGACTGTCACTCTCTCTCGCGTCAGCAAAACGGTGTACGATTTCATTCGTTGTGAGATCGTCAGTTCATCTCAAGTCACCTGCGTCTGGGTGGGCTCCCCTAAGAAAACAGCAGCCCTGTGCAACTTTGGAGGTGAGAGCCATCCCCACTGTTCTCCAGTGGCCAAGGAAGCAGTGTGGGACGCGTACCTAAAGTGGTGCCCCAGAGAGATCAAGAGTGGCTGCGGTGACCATGGTGGCTGCATTCGCCAACCCAGTTTACTACAGAACCTATCCTAACGTAGCTGGTCTAGGCCAACTTTCTTCACATAGTGACACAGCGGCACAGTGCCAGCACAAAGCAATGGATATCAGACAGATAGTCTAGACTAGTAGGTTGACTTTATAGTTGGGCTCTCGTTCGGCACCACCGCACGCTTCCCCTCATGACGATGGCTGCGAGTCGAGTCCGGAGGAGTACTATTTGGTATTTCAGGGGGGATGGAGAAAATCAATACCATCCCATGCCAGCCCCACCAAACCGCTGTTCCGCCAAACAGTGGTCACTTGCACCACTGTCCACCCGGTATTGTCGCCACACTGTTTACGATTGTCCATTGACGGTGGTAGAACAGTTACGTGCATGATTTACCACTGTCAACCATTGTCTACCACTCTGCTGGTCATGGTTTACCCTGCTTGGAATGGGATGGCATGAGATTTCTCCACCCCCCGAGTACCAGTAGATGTAACTGGAGTGACCTTTGACACACAACAGCACAAGAGAAGAAAGCAGCTTGACCACAGAGCTGAAGAGACGCTGACAACTTTTCATTTTTGTGTCAAACAGACTGGGAATCGAAGATATATACCGTAGTGCAGCTCCGCAGGCACAAGGCAAAGAGCAAAGAGTTGCGAGTTGCGAGGAGAGCATTCCGATAAAAAGAATTAACGATGTATCCTTTAGAAGGTCTGGCCGTCATCAGGATCAGAGAGCCAATTTCACTTGACAAAGCAAGCAGATCAATGGGAAAACCGCAATGGCCAATACAGTTAAAAGAGTGCCGACAGCACATGCTATGCTTAGAGATAGAAGGCCAGGGGTATCCCATTGGAAAGCCAAAGGACTGCTCTTGCTCGATCACCCTTGCCTGCCACGTTTTAGTGGCGTCTCCGGAGAAGTTAACACTGTTTAGCATGGTGTGTCGAAAAGAGAGTTGTCAAATTGGAGTGAGAGATGCTCAACAGGCACAGGACAACAGTGGCAGAGTTAACAGCTATCGATAGAGCACACTCAACTTACCCATACGACATACTTGCATTGTCATTGGGGTAGCCTTGCTTGCCAAGATAATAGACCAACAGCAGTAGCATACGAAAATTGATTGTTGTTTCGTCTGTTGGCCCCTTTCTGCTTGCCAGAACTGGTGGCTCTTTCGTTTTTTTTGGAGATGCCATGCTGGCTCGCAATGAAATCCTGAAAATGAGATCCCCATTGTTCGCCAAAACCAGGTGTTGGTTGGTAGGAAACGGCCAAGATGACGACTGTGAAGAAGGACGCTGAACGGTACAACAGGCACTTCTTTTATGACGCTTACGATGATGCATCTCCTGATTTCTTGACTGACCTTGTGTTGCACGGAAAGGAAAAGGTGAAGACAAAGTATGTTCATAAGAATGGTTCAATCCGGATTCTTGAAGGGGGTGATAATCGTCCACGCTTCACTGTACTTACATTCGAAAGGGAAAATCACAGCTACCCAAACACTGGTATTCACTTCACTGTTTGGGTGATGCAGCTGTTGGATGGTTCCTTTAGTATCATCAAAGCAGTTACTGACACCTCTCTTGCTAAATGGTTGGAAGGAAAAGAGATGATGTGTGGTTGCACGCTCATTGTGCCTGATTTCAGGATCGTTCGATTGCAGACAGGTAATGAGTTGTCCACCAAAATGATCATGCTGATCAAAGACTGTGGATGGGTGTACCCACCTGATGTTGACTTACCCTACGTGGGTCCATAAGAAAAGGCAAGGCCTTGGGGCCAGATCTTCGATAAGGAAGAGAAATTCCGTGCTCCATCCAAGCGAATCATCATTTCTACCGCCCACGGCACAATAGAGAAGAACATGAAGTACGGAAGTCTTATCTTCACTGAAGAGAGGAGGGAATTCCGACAGGCCCATCACTGGAATTCCTATGTCAGGTCTGATGTTCTTCGATCAGAGTATTCCGAAGGACATTGGATCATGTCGGGTGATACCAAGAAGAGTTGGGATCAGTGTATGAATGACAAGAAGGCTGCCACTGCCAAGAAGCGTGATCTGTGGGAAGAGTCCGACGATGTAGAGAGAGTGACTGAGTGTGCGAGCATCAGTACATTCGCTTACAAAGAGTGCATCGCCAAACAGTACACTATCGACATGATGGACAAGAATGCAGTGATCGAGGCCTTCTCACCTTTTTTCAAGCACCCGCACATCATGGATCCCAGCATGGATTGGGAAGAATTGTCAGACAAGACCAAAAGGGGGTGTTCCTACCAACATTATCACAGCAACTTCTTTCGTTCGTCCAAAGGTGAGTGTTCTCCCCTCCCGTGGTGTATTGAGAAGTACATCAAGCAGTGCTACGGTGGAGCCGGTGCCCTCTACACCGGTTTCAAGACAAAGAGACAGAGAGCGGCGGAGAAGTACGCCGGCAAGAAGGCAAAGAAGATCACCATGTTGGAAGCGAAGATTGCAAATAAGAGAGCTTTTTCGAAATCGAAAGGAAAGGAAAATGAGGTTTCCAGTTCCAATTCGGAGTAGTATGTGCTACACGCACTCGTGTCAGTTGAATGGATAGTGTCAGTTGAATAGATAGTGTCGAGTTGTTGTTAGGATGGCGACTGTGAATGCAGAAATCGCTAGTTGAAGAGAAAAGATAAGCCCGATAAATGTTAGCGATTACTATCAAAAATTTTGTATTCATTCATTCAAGGCAGTATCGCAAAGATGGAGATCATTTGCCAAACCGTCCAAGTCTTCCGAATTGTCCTCTCTTATCAGCAAACTGTCCAGTAAGGACACTTCCAGCCCAAACTTTGTATCGTCATCAAGCGAGACTATCCCTTTATCTTCTTCATCAACGGTTACTTCTGAATGATCGTTTGTGGTCGCCTGCTCTGCCAATCGCTTCGGATTCAACAGGCAAGCCTTGGCTTGCTTTGTTTTGTGGCCAAAAAGCCTACAAAACCCACACTGAACACTCTGTTTCGATTATGGTTGTCTTCCCACCATGGCAATGGTCCTCTTGTATTCCTTGCCGTTCGCTCTATCCTCTGCCAACTTCTCGAAATACAACTTGATTTTCTGGTAGTTCTTTTCTTGACATTGCTTCTTGTTCTTGGTTTTCCTGGATTGCTTCAACCGATACGCCCTTTGTTCCTCCACCTTTCTGATTCGGTGCAACGTCAAGTCATCCATTTCCAAACCCAGTCGCTGAAAAAGCCGTTCGTAGTGCACTACGCTAAAAGCTAGTGTAAAGATCTTTCGAGTGTTTTGTGTTTGAGAGAATGAAAGTTATGAGAGAGATTAGAAAGCTATGAAAACTAATCAACGAGAGAGATCACCATCAAAGGATCGTAGATCTGGTCTCCCGCAGGAGACTATAAAGTGTGATAGAGTAGGTTGCGGTAGTAATCCTACGTATCTCCACGATCCTAAAACGGAACGCGTGGAAGATTCGTCTAGCATGGATCTAGTAGCGTGGAAGTACTCCACGCTGGCTAAATATCTAGAGCGATGTTTCATCATCAACCTAGTATGACTAGAGAGGTAATTGAGAACCCTGTCTCAATAACTATTCACGAGAGACTCAGTCATGAGTCGAACTCAAACCCTATCTAGGATCGAGTCGCGAATAAGGCTAAGAGCCGTGTATTGCATTCGCCCCCTGACAAAGGGTCACAGAAGGCACGACATCAGTCGGACAAGGAGAAGATATGAATTAAAGTGCGGGGCACTCTCCGGAGATTGGATGTAGACATGTGCGTCGCACGATGGCAATCCTACAAGGGGATCAGGCCTTGTATGGGTGTAAATACCATATGTTCCAAGTCTGGTAGACTGTGCCGCCATTGGCGGTAGCATGTCGGAGCCGTACAGTGCCATTGTTATTGACTCGATCTATATTGTAAGGACCTTTGTACTTTGGCTGACCGTACTTGCGGTGCTGATACTGTTGAAACCTCACAGTATCGTTGACATTGTATTGATGAGGGACACGCGTCGCGTTTTCCTTAGCTATCATTGTTTTTCTGGATGAGTCGTTGGCGACGTTCTTTGATGTGTTTCCAGTTTACTTCGAAACGGACGTTGTGAATCGCGTCACGATTGAACACGTGTGGTAATGAACTTGCGACGAAGTCCATATTCATCCCGAGGTCTTCTCGACTTCTGCGCGAACTCACGTTCTCTATCCATGATACCTCAGCAGGCCATGGATACTGGGTGAGCCACGTCTGTTCTAGAAGATGGCTACTTCGTCTGCTGTATTGGAGCAGATCTCAGCAATCTCGAACCATTCGGTTACGGGATCAATCATTGTCAAGCAATGAAATGGACAGGGATTCCTTTTCTTGGGATCCCGACGTTGTATGTACATGTGATCGTCTGATCCATATGTCTCGATAGTAGTTCACTAGTCCAATGAATCTACCAAGTTCTTCCTGTTCGTAGGAGGAGTGAACAATCCATGTGCACTCGCTAAAACTAGTGTAAAGATCTTTCAAGTGTTTTGAGTTTGAGAGAATGAAAGTTATGAAAACTAATCAACGAGAGAGATCATCATCAAGGGATCGTAGATCTGGCTCCCGCGGGAGACTATAAAGTTGTGATAGAGTAGGTTGCGGTAGTAATCCTACGTATCTCCACGATCTAAAACGGAACGGTGGAAGGTTTGTCTAGCTGGATCTAGTAGCGTGGAAGTACTCCACGCTGGCTAAATATCTAGAGCGATGTTCATCATCAACCTAGTATGATAGAGCGGTCATTGAGAACCCTGTCTCAAATGACTATTCGAGAGACTCAGTCATGAGTCGAACTCAAACCCTATCTAGGATCGAGTCGCGAATAAGGCTAAGAGCCGTGTATGCATTCGCCCCCTGACAAGGGTCACAGAAGGCACGCAGCAGTCGGACAAGGAGAACATATGATTTAAAGTGCGGGCACTCTCATGAGATTTGGATGTAGACATGGTCTCGCACGATGGCAATCCTACAAGGGGATCAGGCCTTGTATGGGTGTATATACCTTATGTTCCAAGTCTGGTAGACTGTGGCCTGGCGGTAGATGTGGAGCGTACAGTGCCATTGTCATTGATCGGTCTATAGTGTAAGGACCTTTGTACTTTGGCTGACCGTACTTGCGGTCTGATACTGTTGAATCATCACGTATCGTTGACATTTGTTGATAGGGACACGCGTGCGTTTTCCTATCGTTGTTTTGTTGGATATCGTTGGCGACGTTCCTTTGATGTACTTCCAGTTGGCTTCGAACCGGACGTTGTGAATTGCGTCACGATTGAACACGAGCTGTGCGGGCGTTGCACGCAAGGTGGTAGAATCGTGGCATTCATTGAAAGCGAACCGCGTGAGGACTCCATCCCAGGATCCATTCACGAGGTCATCTGGCACTTGATGTTTTGAACAGCGATCAAGTTGCGTATGGTTTGATGAGCACGCTCGACCATAGAGTTCGCTTGAGGGTTACGCGTAGTGATGAACTTGCGACGAAGTCCATATTCATCCCGGAGAGTCTTTTCGACCTCTGCGCGGAACTCACGTCCTCTATCCATGATAACCTCCGCAGGCCATGGATACCCAGTAAGCCACGTTTGTTCTAGGACGATGGCTACTTCGTCTGCTGCCTTGGAGCAGATCTCTGCAATCTCGAACCATCCGGTTACGGGATCAATCATTGTCAAGCAATGAAGTGTGCAGGAATTCTTTTTCTTAGGATCCCCGACGTTGTAAGGACCTATCAGGTCAATACATAGTCTTTCCCAAGGGATCTCCTCGCAAGTCTTTGGAGGCATCAATCCCAGCTTACGCATCTTGGGTTTGTTCATCTGGCAGCTTTGGCAACGCTACATACGGCCTGCACAGTCTTGCGCAGTCCTTTCCAGGTGTAGTGTTGGCTGATGGTTAGTTCTGTGCGATCTCGCCAGGATGCATCAGCACACATGGTACCTTCAACTAGCTTCTTCTGCATAGTTTTAGGTACGACGATCTTATCGTCCTTAACTACTAAGTGTAAGACTTATCCCCTCTGGGAAAGATTGCTCTTGTAGTCTTTGGCTTGTCCCGAGGAGTTTCTTGATATCGTTGTCGTCTTTCTGACGATGTTCGATCTCGGGGAACGAGAGAGGGAACTCGCTAGGGAAGTCCTCTTCGTCTGCAGCCATGAGCTCAGCGATCTCGCTGGCGTTCCATTGTTCTTGAAGAACCATCTTGTTGGAGATGTTAAGTCTCGACAACGCATCAGCGACAATGTTCTTGTTCGCCCTTGATGTACCGTAGTTCAGGGCCGTATTTCTCCAGAATAAGGCGCCATCGCATTACGCGATCGGTATTGAAGTTCTTACATGTAAGATTCTTGTGGTCCGTATGCACAACGATCTTCTGTCCCAAGAAGAATGTTACGGAACTCTTTTAGAGTTTCTACGATACTGAGAAGTTCCTTCTCGGTAACGTGTAACGTGTCTGAGCAGGGTTGAGCTTCTGCTGTAGAAAGCGATAGGTTTTCCCTTCTGGAAATTACTGCACCTAGTTAGTATCACTCGCATCCGTGTGGATAACGAATGTATGTTGAAGTCAGGGAAGCGAGCAAGGTTTCTTTGCTGATGACTCTTCATCTGGCTAAAGGCCTTGTCGTGTTCGCTTCCCATTTCCACTTCGTTGTTTTGGAAGTCAACGAAGAGCGAGTGGGAGTACATGCGATCGTCTAATCCACATTTCTCGATAGTAGTTCACTATCCAATGAATATGACGGTTCTTTTCTGTTGGTAGGAGGAGCGATATTCTGGATCGCGTCTTTTTCTTGGTTATAGGTTGGATCCCTTCTCGAGTAATCCAGTAACCTAGGTATTCAAGTTCTCCTCTTGCGAAGAAGACTTGGTAGCATTGATCTTAAGTCGGCTTCTCGAAGCTCTCGGAGAACTTCATCCAACTTTTCACTGATCTGCCAGATCGCCGTTAGTTTAGGATGAGTAGATCATCAATGTATGCACGGACGTATTCTAGTCGTGCATTAGTGTTCCATCTTCTCTTGGAAGATGTCGGGACTATTAACATAGGCCATTGGCAACCCTGGTACTCTACTTTCCCCACGGGAGTACGATGGTACAGAGTTGCTTCGAGTGAGGTGACAGCTCGATGTGATAGATCCATGTTCAGGTCTAGACTATGTAGCGTACTTGAATCCATCTAGATTCAAGAGCATGTCCTGTATTTTTGGATAGGATAAGGTTCCGTTTAATCCTTTTGTTCAGTTCCCGGAATCAGAGATGAATCGTAAGATCCATCTTTCTTGGGAATGATAAAAGTTGGTGCCGCCCACTCGGAACGGTTCACACTTCTTGAGTACTCCTGCCTCGCAGAGAACGTTCAACCTCCATCTTAAGAGTGTGGTATGGTAATGGAAAACAGCGACTCGAGTGAACTAGGAATCACAGCAGCGAATACCATGGAGCATGATAGAGGTACTATCTCTCACGCAAGGAGACGTACAAGGTTACTGACCTAAGAGGCAACTCGGTGTACCTGGTC